GTCGATATTACAATTACATTTTTGTCTTAGTGAATTCTACATCTAAAATAAAACTAAAAAATGTGCATCCTTAAGTCAATATTGAGATTACACTAGATTCGTTCGTGCTTGTTGTGGATAAACGATATGTTTCTTAAAACGCCATACTATGTTCTATAATAATAGAACTGCTGTTTTTAACACTATATTACTTTGCTCGGCACTACGACGCTTCGCTCGGTACTATGACGCTTCGCTCGGCACTACGACGCTTCGCTCAGCACTATGACGCTTCGCTCGGTACTATGACGCTTCGCTCAGTACTAAAAAAATCTAGAAACCAATTTTCAACAAAATTCGTTTTTTCTCCGAGTTTAATGAATTTGTGTAAAATTGGTCCGAAAGTCCGGTCTCCTTTGCCTAATACTATTATGGAAAATTTCGTTGATGATAAGTTAAAGTCTATTTCATAATCGGCTAATCAACAAATGTTCTATACAATTATTTAATAAGAAGCTAAGAGGGAAAAAAAGATTTTTTTTCTTTTATATATAATAGCCAACAACAATATATAGAATGGACGAACAGAGAAAAAATATATATGTATATATATATATAGACATGTATATAAAAAAGGCCGTGACTTTTAAAATCTTATGTTGTTGTTGTTGTTGCTGATGCAATGATTGTATCAGCTTGTTGTTGTTGTTGGTTAATTGAAAGAGTATCAAAATTTAAGTTCGTTACGTCAACATCACTTTGTGTTCCTTCTTGATTGTTTTTATTATTAACATTAGCATCATCGTCTTCATCAGGTAAAAATTTGATTTGTTCCCGTGGTGCTAATGTATCCGAATCAGGTGGATATGGCCATTGATTAGCGCGACGTGTTGAAGGATTTTTTACACATGCAAGACCTTGAAATACGCGAACATTATCAAGAAATTCATTTGGAATTTTAGGTGTTGGTCTACAGAAGCAAAGAAAACATAGATGAGTACAATAAAATGCATGATTTTGTTTTACCTAGCTGTAGGTTTAGTCCATTGTTTAGGCATATCTGACAAAAGTTTAAGTGGCGTTATAGGAATGGGTACACTCGATAACGATGACATTGAATTGTTAAGATCTCCGACTTTAGGATCCATTGGCTAAATTTAATTTAGAAAAAAAAATTGAATTTCAAGGAAATATCAATATGATAAATTTTTGATTTACTGGATTTGCAAATTGTGTTTCAACTGATTGATAATTAAAACAACACTGAGGATCATTTTTATATAATAGATGTAGAGTACCTAAGACAAAAATGTAATTGTAATATCGACGACGATTTTTTTTTTCAAATTCTATTACCAGTTGAATGTCCGAATGCTGTACAATGCATACTTGTTGATACACTAAATGTTGATATTATACCAGCTGGATTCGTTGTAAGATTAATAATCGGAGAATATGGTTGAGTTAAGCCTCCAGTCAAATCAACTTGTGTATGATGCCCTTGCTATGAGAAATATAAAAACAAAGAATCATTTCATGAAGTCGAATTCTCTTTTTTAAAAGAAAAAATCTTCTGAGCAAGTGATGCACTTTCCGTAGTCAAGATTTTGATCTTCACGCAGATACAAATGTTATTTACATTATGTTGTCCAATGAAATTCTGTTACTTTTAAAGTTTAGCATACGATACAACTCCAAAACAACATGAACCTATTAGAAATCTTTTCCGCTAGTAATTTAATGCAGCTAACGAACATAGATTATAGCTTCAATGTGTGTTATGATAACAAATGTTTCGTAGAATATTTACTTGAGATGCAACCATAACTGAAGTACTTGTCATGGTATGATAATGCAAGAAACATGGATCAACAAAAACAGGTACCGGCGCTAATTGTTGCATATTTCTTAGATCATAAACAACAAGAAATCGATCAAGATTCATATGGTCCATTCTGAAGAGAAGAAAAAAAGAAAAATTACAAAATACATTTATTTTCGTATAGATCTTACTTTCGTGTAAAACCGCACGTCACTAAATACATATTATTAATATCCAAATCTGATAAACTACCGTGGTGCGGAGTAAAACGTTGTATGACTTGAAGTGAATTAGGATCGCGTAGATTAACAACACCATTTGTTGAGCCCGTTGCAATAAAATTTCTCGTACAATATTTTAATATAATACAGTCGCCTTCATCAAGTGATACCTCGAAGAAGAAGAAGAAATAAACAAACAGTTGAGAATTATTTGCTTTTGTATTACTTGTCGAAGTAATATTTTTTTATCAAAATCCATTTCACATAATTGTCCACCATAACCGCCGAGATAAATTTTCTTTTGTTTATGAGATTGTGGCATTAACATGCATTGCATATTATCAAGATAAGGAGCTCTACACGAAAGAATAAGTATCACATAGCAATAAAATCGAACCAACTAATAGTAATTACCTATGATTAAATATATTTAAACCTTGTCTTGTATATAATGAAAGCGAATCAGACGTAAGAATAAGTGGCCCTTCTGTTATTGATAATATACTGCGAATGTCCGATGTTGTCGATACACGAAAACCGGTATATTTACGAAGTTCACAGCCATAAAAAGATGCTACACGACCCTTAATTATCATAAAAATAAAAGTACATATCGAATGATGTATTAACCGCAGTTTAAAAATGACCTCAAACATTGATAGAAAAGAATTATTTTAGGATTTTCCTTGAAAGTTCATCATGATCTCTTCAAAAATATGTTTGAGTAGTAAAATCAGAGACTACTAGATCTTTTGATCTATCCATAAGAAAAAAATAACCCTTTTCTAGTTTTATTCTCAACATTTATTCAATTATCAATCACTATACCTCATTACTTCCAGCCCAGAGTAATTCTTGGGCAATATCGAATTCGGTTGCTGTAATCGATTGTGCACTCGTTGGATTATAAGCACTATTGAAAAATGCCATGGATTCCGAATAATCCATCGCATAATGTGAATCATTAGTACCATCCATATCTAAAAACTTTTGTTCATCAATACAGCATCGACAAATATGAAAAGAAAACAACAACAACGAAGGAAAAAAAGCCAAGATATCTGCATCGGTCAATCTATCTATGAAAAATAGTTGAAAACGAAATTTGTAAGAATAAAAAACAAGGGTCCATAAGCGTTTTTCTCGTGTTGTTGTTTTAATAATGTTCTTCAATTGGATTTCCTTCGCCGACAAGACCATGTTCAATCATTGCTTTTTGTCGAAGTTTTTCAATGCGTCCTTTTTTTTCGATATCTTCTTTTTGTAGTTTAAGTATTTCTTCAATTGTTACTTCAATAAGTGGTACACGTAATGGTTGATGAAAATCTAATTCACCAATGAATAAAACATTTTCACCACGAATTACAAATAGACCACGAGGAATGTCCGCATACTGGTGGCCAATACAGATACGTTCAAATGCTTGATGCAATACAAGATTACCTACAAGAAAACAATAGCGAATAGACCATTCATGGTAATCTTTATCCCTACCAAACTGATCAAGACTTCTTAAAAACGCAATCAATGTTCGGCCGTCCCGTAACATAACCATTAACTGTTCTACGTAAATATGTATCATATGTATGAATTCATTTTATTTATTTCTTACTATCAATATCACCAATTAATGCTGCCATGCCAGATAGATAATAATCATTATTGACAATACTTAAATCCATTTATTTTTGATTACTATTTAAAAATAATCTGAAGAAAAAAAACCAGCCAATGATATTTCAGTATAGCTCTGTAGTATGACATTGAAATAAATTCGAAACTTGTATCATATGAAAACTTCTTTCTTTTTTATTCATTCAATATTTCGATTAAACGTTAATAAAACTAAATAAAACGACTAGAATATTTTATGTTGGAAAAGTGCTTGGGCGTAAAAGCATAGGAAAAAAGCAGTTCCTTGAAAGCAAAATAGACGCTTGCTACATTCTAGATGAGATTATTGAATATGACTGTTTAATAACGGCTAATATCTCGTCCGTATAATTGCGTACGAACCCAATCAAATGCCAGTAATGTTTTTGTTCGGCCAGTAAACATTTCGGTGAAATAAAATGATTTCCAGAGATAAGCTGCACCACGTCCTGATAATGGTTTTAACCTGAAAATATCCAAAATTGGTCTTGCTCCAGTAAAATCAACTACAGCCGAATCGCCACCAACGTATGCCAATGAACCCATATGTTTATAACGGAATGGTTTTATATCATGTTTTTGATAATTTTCTATATTCAAATCCGGTAATTCATTCAGTAAATCAGCTAAATAACGACCTTCTTGTGACGCAACTTGTGCCGTTGCTGGTAGCGCCCGAAGTTTTGTATCAGCTTTTTCGAGTGCTGAATGTAATGTTGTCAGTGTTAGAAAACCTAACTTGTCTTCATCAGCTTCCGCAAATATTTTTTCAATTCTCGCCGAGAAAATTTCAAGCTAGAAAAGAAATACAAAAATTTATTTCTTAGATCTGCTCGTCGCTAAGAACAAAATTTATTCACAAAAAGAAGCACTGCCAGAGTTTGCTTTGAAATAAAGGCGGGACTAAAATCGATAGAAACGCTGTCAACTATTTTCGATACCTGTGGAAATTCATGAGTTTTCTTTTCAACTAATGTTCTAAATTGTTGTAGATCGAGTGCTCCTCGATGTTGCGTATCTGCTTCTTCGAATAGCAATTGAATACGATCAACTAATTTTGGTTGTTCGATCGTAGCGCAATCACCAATAGCGAACAATGAACCATCGTGAACACCTTTGACGCGTAAATGTTGATCGGTCAGAATACCCATTCGATTACTTTGTGTATTCAAGCCGATTATTTCTCGAATTCGATTGGTTAATCGTCGCGGTTTAATTCCTGTTGCCCAGACAACAACAGAACACGGAATCGATTGTTGTTCATTGGAACCTTTTGCCTGTATAACAACTTCATGTTGTTTAATAGCTTTGACAAATGTATTCATGAGTACTTCGATATTTTCACGATGGAAATGTTTTTCAGTAAAATCACTGATTTCTTTATCCTAGACAAATAAAGGATAGTTTTAAAATTAAAGAAAGTACAACACAATTAACAAACCATCATCGATAAAACATGATCGAGTGCTTCAATTAATGTTATTTTAACATCATTAGCAACTAAACGTGGATAAAAATGATGAAGATCTTCACGAACTAAATCCGAAAGCTAGAAATAAAAATAAAAATTATATTTAAAGACCATGCAACTTGCATTTCTACTGTCCGATTAAATGTTCTAGAAGCCTGATTACTTTGATATTTAGTACTGCTTTCTGTTTCACATGCAATAAACCATACGCATAAAGTTAGAAGGAGTGAATAAAATTTTATTAGTGGTTGAGAGGATGCTTGTTAAGACAAATATTTACAATGGAATCACTGATGGAAACAATTAGAGGTCAACGAAAAACATTGACGGCGAGTTCTATTGAATTATTTATTGTAAAAAATAATTCAAAATTTAGATATTTGTTGTTCATCAAGAATCAATTATAGTAGCCTACGAAAACCAGGTTATTCAACTTTTTTTTCTCTTGGAATCTAAATTAATTCGCACTGAGAAGAATCTTGTTTTTAATTCTTATCGCACGTACCATGAATCTTATTCTAACCAGGAGATAATACTGGGAATAAATAGTTAACTTCCATGTCATGTCATGTCAAAGATATATTGAGGTCAGGGTCACCTAGTGCATATCTAGTTTAATAGAACTCATGTATAGCTTTCTGTTGTTGTCAAACGCCTTCATATGTCGTCGTTGTTTTACATGAGAGAAGCCGTATGATAAACGATAATGACCTTCAACCATTAATTGAATAGTCAAAATAGCTTTTTTTCTTCTGGTTTTCGCATCTTACTTCAGCAGCGAATTCAACACCTGTTGGTCCACCACCGACAACAACAAAATGTAGAAGACGTTTTCGTTCTTCTGGTGTCTGCGATGGTGTCATAGCTGATTCAAATGCATCACTAATCGCGGAACGAATACGTCGAGCATCGAGAATTTCTTTGAGAAAGTGAGCATGTTCTTCAACACCGGGAATATTAAATGTATTATTCTCTGAACCAATAGCAACAATAAGAATATCATATTTCATATCAAATTGAGGTCGTGTTCGAGCTAAGCAGAATCAACTGAATAATTTCAAAAATTGATTTTGCTTCTTTTTCTCCTACCAGAATCTTTAATAATTCTTGATGATGCACCACCTTCGCGTTTCGATGGTACATAGATTGCTTTAACGTCATCGCCCCGAGATACGACATCTGTGCCATCACTATTGCATGTGATTAATTTTTCTTTTGGATTGACATTAACACATTGTGCTTCAACATATTTTACTTTTGGTCCAACAAGTGAACGAATAGACTCAATGACTGTTCTAGTTTCGACTGTACCAACACTAACCGATGGTAATAAAGGCGTCATTAGAAAATAATTACGTGGCGATACACAAACAACTTCATATTTATCACTGTCAATATGTTTTAAAAATGGTACGGCACCCCAACCTAGAAACCAAACGGAAAATTTAAAGAGAAAAACGAATTTCGTTTGTACTCACCTGTTCCAAGAATCACTACACGTGGTTTTGTACCGATTGAATTATCCGAATCGGTCATATCTTTAAACCATTTATAATTACGATTAGCGCGATAGCCATAGTAAGTTCCACAACCAACAACAGTGACGATTAAAAGATTTCTTAATCGTCGCTTTAATTTCGTTCCTAAATTTTTTCAAATGAAAAGACAAAGAGCAACTTTAGTCTATACAAAAAGACAAATATCCATCATATACCGAAATTTTCCTTCGCTGTATGTCGGCTAAACCAAGCAAGATTTCGAATAATAATTGGTTTTACATCTTTCAATTGTTTAAATGAGAAATTTCTAGTTGAACTTCTCATTAGTAATTTTTGACATAATAAATTCGATCGTGAAAACATTACAATGACTTTCAGAGTAATCGACTGTTTCAAGGCGCGGAAACGAGCATGCGCATTTCTTTTTCTGTATGTACTGTAAAAATCGATTTGATTAGTTGAAAATTTCGTCAATCATAAACAATCGTGCGATCCTGCTGACATCTTTTCTGCTTTCAAAATTAAATCAAAAGCTTTTGTATAAAAGTTTTTCTATTACAAAAAATTAATTTCTTACACATGTTTTATTTTTCGTAGGAATGAGAAAATCATTTGAATGGTTAGAATTTCATTCGTTTATCTATAAAAATACAAAACACTCACCGTGCAAGTTTATTTCATTGCTTGCAAGCTTCGCAAGAACATGTATTCAAGCAATGATCAATCTGAAATGGAAAACGATGATGATGGAGATATTACAACTGAATTGTGGCAAGAAGCTTGTTGGACAGTTATATCCTCCTATTTCGATGAAAAAGGTCTTGTTCGACAACAACTCGACTCATTTGATGAGTTTATTCAAATGTCAGTTCAACGTATTGTCGAAGATTCACGTCCAATTGAATTACAAGCTCAATCACAATACACCGCTTCATCAAAAGATGTGCCCTACAAATGTACAATTAAATTTGAACAAATTTATTTGTCAAAACCTATTCATCGCGCTGATGAAGGTACAGTCTATTTATGGCCAAATGAGGCACGATTGAGAAACTTAACATATGCTGCACCATTATATGTTGATTTAAAACGAACTATCCAAAGAGATAACGATCCTGCTGGAGAGAAAAAACTTGATAAAGTACACATTGGTGATATACCAATTATGTTACGTTCAGCTTATTGTCTTCTGTCGGAAATGACGGATCGTGATCTGACAGAACTTAATGAATGTCCATTGGATCCTGGTGGTTATTTTATTATTAATGGTAGTGAGAAAGTGCTAATTGCACAGGAGAAAATGGCAACAAATACAGGTTGAAAAGATCATAATCATAATTTATTGTGTTTATTTTAAATAATCTTTATTGTTTTAGTTTATGTATTTTCCATGAAAGACTCCAAATATGCATATAAATGTGAAGTTCGTTCCGTATTGGAAAATTCTAGTCGACCAACAAGTACACTCTGGGTTAATTTAATGGCAAAGGGTGCACAGGTAGCTTACGTTTTTTTTACTGCACTCAAAAAATTTTCCTATGAACAAAAACACAACGTTCTCATATTCCTTGTAAAATACGTTTTATACAACTATTTACTTGTTTAGGGTGGAAAAAAAAGTGCTATTGGTCAGCCTATTATTGGTATATTACCATATATAAAACGGGAAATTCCCATAATGATTGTTTTTCGCGCACTTGGCCACGTTTCTGATCGTGATGTTCTCGAACATATCATCTATGATTTTGATGATATGGAAATGATGGAAAAAGTAATTGTTCAATGGTTAATAGGAAAATAGTTCCTTTTGTTTTCTCTTCCGGTTCTAGGTTAAACCATCACTCGATGAAGCTTTTGTTATTCAAGACGATAAATTGGCACTTGATTTTATAGGTGCACGTGGTAGTCACGCTGGTGTTCCACGTGAGAAACGTATACGTTACGCTAAAGATATATTACAAAAAGAAATGCTACCACATATTGGTATAACACAACATTGTGAAACGAAAAAAGTCTATTTTCTTGGTTATATGGTTAATCGTTTGTTATCAGCTGCATTGGGTCGTCGAGAATTAGACGATCGCGATCACTTAGGAAATAAACGTTTAGATTTAGCCGGTCCATTATTGTCATTTTTATTTCGTGGTTTATTTAAACGTTTAATCAAATATATAACAGCTGCTGGACAAAAAGCTGTTAATCGTAGTCGTGATGTAGGCGAATGGGTTGTTCGATCCGATATCATAACACAAGGTTTAAAATATTCATTGGCAACCGGTAATTGGGGTGATCAAAAGAAAGCACATCAAGCTCGAGCTGGTGTCAGTCAAGTATTGAATCGTTTAACTTACGCATCAACATTATCACATTTGCGACGAGTCAATTCGCCGATTGGTAGAGATGGAAAATTAGCTAAACCACGTCAATTACATAATACACTTTGGGGAATGATTTGTCCAGCTGAAACACCTGAGGGACATGCTGTTGGTTTAGTTAAAAATTTAGCGCTTATGGCGTATATTTCTGTTGGTTCACAGCCGCAACCGATTTTAGAGTTTCTTGAAGAATGGTCAACAGAAAATATGGGTAAGTTGATAAGATTTTCTTTGTTTCATTTCGTAAAGATATTTTCTTTTTTTCTTCATAGAGGAAATTACACCGTCAAGTATTCGAACTGCTGCAAAAATCTTCGTTAATGGCTGTTGGATTGGTATTCATCGTGATCCCGATCAATTAATGAATACACTTCGTCGTTTACGTCGTCAATGTGATATTATTGTTAACGAAGTTTCAATGGTACGAGAGATTCGTGAACGTGAAATTCGTATCTATAGTGATGCCGGTCGTATCTGTCGTCCACTGATGATCGTTGAAAAACAAAAATTATTATTAAAACAACGACATGTTGATCTACTTAAAGAACGTGAATATACGAATTTCGGGTAAACTCTTTACGAAAATTATTTTCCATTGAAACAAATTTTTCTTCCTTACAGTTGGCAAAATTTAGTTGCCGAAGGTGTTGTAGAATTTATTGATTGTCTAGAAGAAGAAACGAGTATGATTGCTATGGTACCGGAAGATTTAAAACCCAAAGGAGAATCACCATACTGTTCAACATATACACATTGTGAAATTCATCCATCGATGATATTAGGTGTTTGTGCAAGTATCGTACCGTTTCCTGATCATAATCAATCGCCACGTAATACATATCAATCTGCTATGGGTAAACAAGCTATGGTAAATGAACTATATAAAATAAGAAGATATATTAAGAATTTGTTTTTTTTTCTCAAGGGCGTTTATATAACAAATTTTCATATTCGAATGGATACACTTGCACATGTATTATTTTACCCTCAAAAACCGTTAGCTGCAACGCGAGCTATGGAATATCTTCGTTTTCGAGAGTTACCCGCTGGTAGAAGAAAAATCTTGAAAGTTCTTCGAAAACTTTGATTATTTTTGTTTTCAGGTATTAATGCTATTGTTGCGATTGCAACTTACACTGGTTATAATCAAGAAGATTCAATTATTCTCAATTGGAGTTCAGTTGATCGAGGCTTTTTTCGGTCGGTTTTCTGGCGTTCATATCGTGAAGCCGAAAGTTCGCAAGGTGATCAACATAAAGAAACAATCGAAAAACCACAACGTACATCATGTGCTGGAATGCGCAATGCTATCTATGATAAACTTGACGACGACGGAATTATTTCGCCTGGTGTTCGTGTTAGCGGGGATGATGTTCTTATTGGCAAAACAGTCACTTTACAAGATACAGAAGATGATGTAAGTTAAGAAATATATTCTCCGGATTAATAAGAATAAATGCTCTTAGTCGAGCAGTTGGAGTTAAGCACCCCTCATGATGACGTGATTTTGTGAATAATAGTTTTTTTTTTCTTTAAATTTAATATCATTCAAATACTATTTATCTATTTTAGTTAAACAGCAAAACAAAAAAATTCCTTAAAAAGGATGCTAGTGTATTTATGCGTGCAAGTGAAACCGGTATTGTCGATCAAGTAATTGTCCACTTTTTGGTTTTGAGCCTTTAAAAATATGAATTTTGTTTTTTCTTTTATAGGTACTTCTATCCATCAATGATGAAGGTTATAAATTTGTGAAAATCAAAGTTCGAACATTGAAAATTCCACAAATTGGTGATAAATTTGCTAGTCGACATGGTCAAAAAGGAACATGTGGAATACTTTATCGCATGGAGGTACGAAACAACAAAATAGTTCACATGATTAGATCCATGCTGATGCGTGGTTCGAATCTACACATAAGAGTAAAATGCGAGACAAAGATGGATGAATCACGACATCCTAACGTTCGAAGTTCATCATGGCTGTTCTCGTAAAACATGATTCCTTGTAAACCACTAATCGACTGATTCATAGTCGCTTTAGTCACCTTTTCTCGGAAACAATTGTGCTCTCCTAGTTTCTTATTGAGAATAAGAAAACGAAATAAGTTTCTATTACTCCTTACTTTCGTTTCTGAATTCTCAGAAATTAACTGTACCTTACATAGCCCCATATAAGCTCTATTTCTACTTATATTAGGTACTTTGTGATGTAACATCTTTTTTTGTTTGAAATATTTTTCTAGGATATGCCATTTACTGCTGAAGGTATAACGCCAGATTTAATTATCAATCCTCATGCTATTCCATCGCGTATGACAATTGGACATTTAATTGAATGTTTACAAAGTAAAGTAGCAGCGAATAAAGGTGAAATCGGGGATGCCACACCATTTAATGATAATGTCAATGTTAAACATATGTCTGAAATGTTACATGAGTATGGCTATCATTTACGCGGCAACGAAGTTATGTATAATGGAATGACCGGACGAAAACTGAATTGTCAAATCTTCTTGGGACCAACTTAGTAAGTAGTTTCGGAGTGTTTTGTTTTTGCTGACGAGAAAATTTTTTTGATTTAGTTATCAACGTCTTAAACATATGGTTGATGATAAGATTCATTCGCGTGCTCGTGGTCCAGTACAAATTCTTAATCGACAACCGATGGAGGGACGATCACGGGATGGTGGTTTACGTTTCGGAGAGATGGAGCGTGATTGCCAAATATCGCATGGTGCAGCACAATTTCTTAAAGAACGTCTTTTTGAAGTATCGGATCCATATCGAGTCCATGTTTGTAATATTTGTGGTCTTTTGGCCGTGGCAAACTTAGCCGAAAAGACATACAATTGTAAAGGATGTACAAATACAACTCAAGTAAGTTGATCTATTCAAAGACAATATGAATTTCTTCACTTTACTTCTATTTGAATAGATATCACAAGTGCGTTTACCATATGCATGCAAACTTCTATTCCAAGAACTCATGGCAATGAATATTGCGCCTCGTATGATGGTCGATTAAGTTATTTTTTGTTGTAGTTGTCGATTGTGTAAATAAGCAACTTCAAGTTTGAAGAAATTTGAAGATAAAAAAATGAATTAAAAAAACAAAATCTCATTTGATCGTTCATGACTTGTTGTTTTTTTTATTGTATTAAACTTCGAAGAAAAAAAGCTAATTTTTTAGAAAAAAAAAAACGTGCATTTTTTTTTTACATATCAATATGAATTAGTGAGAAGAAATTTTTTGTACCAGATACAAAAATTTTCCCTTTTGTGCTTTTCTCAATGGTATAAAAATAAAGCCTTCGAAGAAGTGCTACACGAGTCTTAGAGAACATACTCATTTCGAGTTATTTTCTAGTAAAAAATTGTTTTCCTGTTGAGATGATGGAATGTTTTGAAATTGTGTTCGAGAGTAATTTCTAATATATAAGTACAAACTAAATTAAGGAACGTGAAGACTATTTAGCTGCATATTTATCAGGAAACTTGATCGCTTCGTCGTTGTTTTTAATATTAGTTGAGCTTTGCTCGCCTGATCAAATGATATAAAAGTATTACAATAGTACATAATTCTTTTCTACCGTAATTCGATTTTCATTGATTTTTAATTAGGCAGATCATGTGATTTTGTCAAGTACTCTACATAGAGAGGCCCTATTTAAATAATCGTGTTTCTTGAAGCAGCCATTCCCTTCCTACTTACTCAAACTATTCAACTGCAACGTATACCTTATTTCTACATGCATAATGCTTTTCTTTATCCTCATAATTGGTGTGTTTGTTCACGATGGCATTCAAGCATTTGGTAACACTACACAAAGTGGCTCTGATATCATCTATCTAGATAAGCCATTGAACAATCGGAATCGGAATGGTTATGCATACTCGACTCCACAATTCTTCTTACGAACCCAAACGCCTGTGAGTTTCTATTTCACCACAGCTATGGTCGGTTTTGTGAAAGTACCAGGCTTGTCACTTGCTTTACATCATTCTCGAGCTCGTCTGTACGAAATTCGTTTTCAAGGAAGTCTCTACACGACGGCTCTAGCAAAGCGTTCATACATACGCATCATGATTGATGATGCAATTCTCATTTCTAATAAATTGTATCCAAACACCGAGGAACGGAAACGTCTTGATCCAAGTTTTGAAAACAATTTACTTAATAGTGACATCCAAGGAGGCATCTACTTATATTCTAGCTCGTCAAATATTGTCTTTCCATGTGTAAAATTCGAAACGGCGTATATTCCTGCGGGAACTCATTCAATTGATGTTGTCATACGCACTGAAGACACAATTATTGTACATGGTAGTGAATTGTTTGTGAAGGTATTCGACATTGATGAGAGTTCACAGTCAAGTTTACCTCTGGTTCAAACAGTGAGCGGTTGACAAGTTCTAAGACGTTCCTCCAAATCAACGAACGATAGAAATTTCTCTAATCAAGCCTTATATCCCATAACCATTCTTGTCTCCCCTAATAGTTCATTTTTTCGGAAAAATAAACAACAGAATAAACGAAGAAGTCGCTACGCTCCGACAAATCCATGCAACTGCGGTAGTAGATGTAATTCATTGTAGATATTCGGGTGTGTTTCTAGTATTGAACTACGGAAGCGAGAATTAGGGATAACTTTTTATAAGGTCCATGTGCATATAACAGCTTGCAGAAGGCGAGGGTGTTGAACTATTTTACTTATCAACACACGTTGACACCCAAACCAGCATCCAATATTCTCATTATTTATGTGCTAAACGATGAAATCTAGATAAAATATATTCAACTTTATCGTTAGGAAATCATCAACACCGAAATGCAAGTGTAAAAACAATGAATCATATTATCAAACCAAAATTTTGCTTTATGAAAATACGAAACAAAGCGTAAATTTATACTTCATATTACAATAATTTATGCACATACCAAGATTTTATTGAAAAACGGAAAAAAAACTGCCATTCCTATTAATGTATTCAAATATAATCGATAGATTATATTAAAAAAGTCATATGTTTTTATCATTTGAATTTATGTTAAAAAGAAGGAAGACTAAATCTTTCGGTATCCGCCGAGTGCTGCTCTCTTGCTTCATCAATCAACGAACCAGGGATAACATCACTAGTCGTCTCTATAATTGTTCATAGAATATATGCAACTCTCGTTATATTATGTCAGTGATTCCGCATGTTAATGCCATATATGCTTTTGTCTCATTAATAGATGGCATTGTCGCGTTTAACAGCTGTCTTACTTGAGATTGTACATGCAGAACAATTACCGCAACATGATTTACATATTATTCTGAATAAAAGATTATTTCAGGAACATCGAACTGTAATGAATCTAGCTCAATTAAAACACTATTTTGAATGATGACCTTGAGTCTGTTTACGGCATGGAGTCAGTCATATGCACGAACAAATATGGATCGAATCTCTGAGACTATCTCATCTACCATAAATTGACTGTTAAACTGTGTAAAATTGAAAATACTAAATTTTGTATTGAATAAAACAATTACTGCAAGAATAGAATATTCAATTAATTCATTCTTAGATAACACCCTGGAAAAAAAACGCTTCTCTGTCCATTTATTACATATTCATCGTTGTCATTGGACAATCACTAATAATGTTACATCTTCCATAGAATCAAATTGGTGATGCATGAACCGCAGTATCTGTTTAATACCCAAGAGAATACATCAGTGATAGTTATACACTAAAAATGAACCATTTTTGGTTCGTATAATTGTATTCAACTGTTTATTTTTCGGCTAACCTCATTCGCAAAAGCTACGATGTTAAAAATTAGTCAAGAATGAGATTGTTGATTAGAAAAAAACAAACAATATACTGTTCCTTCTTCAAATCTATTAGTAAAAAACAATGTTTGGAATGTATAATATGAAGGCGAACGTTTTCAACATTGTTTATGTCTAGAACATAGATGCGATTCTTGGCTGTAGGGCTATTGTTTCATCGAAAGAATCTTTTGAATTATATTCGTAGCTGCTGTTATGTTTGAGATAGAGTCGTAACGAGTTAGGAATTTTTTTCGAACAATTGTATGCATACAAACCGCAGTATCCAATTTCAACTGAGTCAATCTCGTATTCATCATTCTTCTTCTTTTTCGCTGTGTCTCATTTGTTCGCAACATGACATAATGAACAAGACATGCTCAAGTATCCGTAGTCATCATCATCATCATTGCAATTATTATCTACATACACGCATCTTCTTTCACTCATTTACTGATCGCGCAATCGGCAATAAGTCTAAAATGCAAATTTTGCTTATTACAAATAAAAAAATGAAGTTACGAAGAACTGACAGAGAAGAAAAAGAACAGGAGCGAATCTTTGCTTGATTATTTTCTGAATAGTACTTTCAAGTGACCTTCTTAATCTAAGCTTATGTATATTCCAAGAAAAGTCTACAAGTGGAATATAATTGAGACTGAACTAATGAATTTTGCACGTTTTCTTTTTCTTTCTCAATTAGACATACTGGTCAATGAGCTTTAACTAGACAATATACATGCTTTCTTTGTCTGCCTTTTTTCATTTTGACATTAATCAACAAAAGAGATTCATTTTCGATAACACATACTCTACGTTATTTGACAGCGACGTATTTTCAAGTAGTGCACGTGGCTGATTTTATTCCAATTAATCCAATCGACATTCATTTATTCTTGCTTGACCGGTTCGCCAAGGATCAGCTTAATGGATTGCTAGCAAAAAATGTAAATAGCTCAATAGTGTGCCTCTCTGTTTCTCTTTTATCTTTGCTCATATGAACATTTGTATGCCATCCATTCATCTGTCAATATCTTTTGTTCTCGAGGGGGTTTCATCTTCTATCCGTTAGATTTTTTTCTTCTCTTAGAAACGAATTTTCCTGCTACGGATTGGTTATTTACCTGCTGATTTCCGTTTGCGAGACACAAGGAAAAGGCGTTAATCGCCTACAGTGATAAATGATGAACACAGTTGGATATTCATGGTTATATCTATATATTTATCTGACTATTACTGTTCATACAAAAACTAGTCTATTATAAACAATGCACATAATAAAAAGAAGACAATTGCTTAGAGAAGAATGTCGTTGAGAATTATTTGATAATAAAGCACTGATACGTTGACGTTGTAACACATCTGAAGAAGAAGAAGAAGAGAGAGAGAGAGAGAATAAGAAGAACAAATGAATAGAATCAAAATACCTTTTTCAACAATTAATTTAGCCGTACGTCGTTGACGTCTATAAACACAAGTCCATATACCTGAATGGTATGTTTGTGCATGATGAATAATTAAATATGAATGTAAACTATTGTTTATTAGCCGTTTTCGTACGTGAATATCATCTGGTTTGGTTTTATTAAATTGATTCGATAGGAAAAACCAATTGATTGGCAACAGAAGGGATTGATTATTTTCATTATCAATTAAAATACTACAATTTAATTTAACATTGGTACCCGGTTCGACATAGAGATTTGATGGAGATAGAATCATAGGGATTTGTATATGCAGAAATATTGGAACACTGGCGGTAGCGCGTCGGTTAGCAATCTGACAAAGATATGTTCCTTCATCGGATAGATTCAATTGATAGATTTCCAGTGACCAATAAGATTCTCTCATGGATGTCGAATACGACGATATTGAATAACGTTTATCCGTTGTAAATAATTCTTTTCCGACGGTTAACGGATACGATAAAAACGTTGAAGAATCATGTTTAAACCACGTTACATGATGTTCACCTAGATCACGTATATGACATGTTAAAATAGCTGTCGACGATACATTCAATGTTTGATTATATGCTTTGGTTAATATTTGTGGGAAATCTTTTACAGCTACTGTTAATTCTATCATTAGAACGACTAAGAAAAAACATGACAACAAACGATTAAAATCAAATCTAGTAACTTACTCAGAATAAATAGGACTAGTTGTTTAAGTTGAAACATCATCATCGATTTGACACTTTTGCATCACTGTTTGACATATACACATAAATTACATATGATATTTGTTTGCAGCTGATTGTGTAATAAAGCGACTACGTTTTTTTTCTTTTTCAACAGAACATGTTGGTACTAGTTGATGAACAACGACATATGAGATGAATGTGAGGAAGAGAGAGAGAGAGAGAACAAACGTGTACACAAGAAGATGAACGTAGATTATGCTTATTCTCTCTCTCTCTGTCTCTCTTGCTGGTGATGATTGAAGAGACGATGAGGGAAAAAGTGGAAGAGAAAGAAAAGAAAAATAAACTTCGACTAATGGAATTAGGAAGAGAGAAGATATCTAAGTTGGGTATGTGGATTAAAGCTTACTAGAATAAAAAAAAAAGGAAGAAGAAAAAGAGAGCGACATATACAAAAACAGTAAATAGAATATTCATTGCCTTTATATTCAAAAGGGATTTTCGAATAAGAGCAAAATAAAACAGAAGATCAAACGGCGTGCATACAAATTGAATGATGACGCATCTCATTTATTTTTCAAATTTTGACAAGATCGATGCGCATACATATGCATACCAGGTGATTCTATCATTGAATAGATCACACCTCGCATACTTCATTTGCTTCAAGTAGAATTAGTTTTCCTACTGTGCGTGATTCAAGTGACAAATATACTTATTGTCTGTTTTAGTCCATTCTTGTACAGTATGACATGAAGACAGATACGCGTGCCTATCGTAGCCAATTCTATTTTAACGCTTTTGAACACATTCACATGTGACGAGTGTACACACTTACTATTCTTTTACTTGTCTGCCTAGTCTAGAAGTGTAGTAAGACGCGTTTGCAGGCAAAAATTTAATATAAACCTATTGATTTTCTAATCAATATGATTACAACCGACTTGATATAACTACGAAGTTGTTTGTACTTGGAGAAAACAAATTGAAGGATAATTGTCAAATCAAGGCTTTTCTCTTTTAACTCATCACGAGTAATACAAGTATCAAGTATTGAAACGATTGTCAATATTTTCTTCGATTTTATGCAATGCAATCAAATCCAATGAGAAAAACAGACTGATTGAACAGCCAGTCTAGTATGCATGTGGAAGACATTTGTTCTAGTGATCAAGCTTAAGAACAAATTAATGTGAACAAGATGAGCACAGACACATTAAGAATATAGAACGAGAAAGAAAAAGTACGATTTATACGTATATTTATGTCTACCCTGATAAACGACATAGCCATATATACTGTATGAATATCGTCTCATGAGTAGTTATGTTGCTTTGTTTTTCTAAGAATGATATAGACAACAGGTTCAGGTCAATTAGACTGATGGGTTCCTTACATATGTTTACAAATGTCCGATCAAAAAAAAAGTCGATAGAGATTTTTCTAACATTTCTCTTGAGCCTTGAAGGCATCGCGATCGGGTTAAAAAACATGAAAATAATAACAACTGTTGATTGAAAATTATTATGTTTACTGATACCATTGATTCGTTGTGATTAAAAATACTGACTTTAGACCAATCCGATGGAACTAGCAAGATAAGATTCTGCTTTTGTTTTATCGGAGATTTATTTTTAGAAATAATACTTTGTATTCGAATCTTTAACCTATAGGGTTAACTTTTTAAGTATGAAGTACATTACCATCAGCAAATTCTGTATATTCATTCGCGCAAACATAATTGAAATATTTTACATAAATCAAGCTCCTATCACAGTGAATACCACATAATCGATTTTTCCAAAGTAAAAAGCCAATCTTTTATACAAAGTTATCCATCAGAATATTCTATTTTTAAAATTATCACGACATCAATCGTCTTAGTTAACAAACTTCAAAGAAAAAAAAGTCTCATTAGGAATTCTTCGCACGGACAGTGAAAATATCATACTAATAGGATTATCATATTACCATATGAAAATAATGTTTAATGAACATACTTTTATGGATGTCAAAAGAGATAGTAGATTCATTGTAAGTTTAAAAAAAACCGACTCGTTCATTTAAACAGCACTTTATACAACTGGTAAAATCTTTTGGCATCTCCTATCATCTAGATTTCATTCCTACGCCTCATTACCAAACACAAGTATAGTTATTAGAGTCTTCTTTAGTTAACAAATCGAACTTCATTTGAATAAAAATCATGTTCAAATTTATCAATGCATACATGGTAATATAACAGCGATATAAGATGGCTATGGTTACTTATAGGCAATGTGAGGATGAAAATAGTCTGGCCTGAAAATTTGTTCGTTAATAATATCGCTCTAATCCATAACTGCTTATCGTTAAATTTGATTATACAATCAACAAACTTAAGCGCATTCGAAAGAGAACACTTTGCTCTATGCGATAAAGTATTTGGGTTCAGGGTTGTCGACTTTTTTGAAGATTGAGAGGAACTAAAAATTGGGTAGCTTTTGAATTTTAGGGAAATGTTAGCCCTTTCCTAATCGGCAAGCTTGCTTGAATGATTTATTGAGGTCACAGGAAATATTCGGAAAAAGTTTAATGATTCCGGTATTTGTACCTTCGAATCGTTTCTCACAATCTTCCAGACGAAACTGACCGTACATCATTCAGCTGGGATATATACACGCACAACGTAGATTATTTAGAAAAAAAACGAACGGCTAGGTCTTTTAAATGCTTGAATATTTTTGTGTGGCTACTTTTCAGAACATGTTCAATATTTCAGAGACGTTCAACGAACTTGAATATGTCGAATTATTGTTCCAGCTGCTATCGTAGCCACTGGAGATTGACGTTGATTGAATATCCATCTTATTCGTTGTTTATATGCCTTAAGAAATAGTCTTGAAGTAAGACAATGAACATAGAAGCTGACCTAAAAACGAATGCTGATAGAAATTTGAAAAAAGACACGTAATATTTACTGCAAAGAAGAGACTTTGAAACCATCCTAAATCAGTTCAAATAGATATCACTTGAAAAATAGCGAGCGCCAAATTTGATTGTATTTTATAAATAGCCAATGGAAGAGAAGTAGTCAAGAAAATGGCAATACTTGCAAGCATAAGAATAAACATTTGATTTTGAAAAACTTTTTGTCGACGAAAAGATTCCTGGGTGATTCAAATCTCTACTTACTTGAATGATGTCCCATGTCATCAGGTAGAAGTCAAAGGACGCACTACCTATTTCACTGGGTCCACATGCTGCAGCTGAAAGTCCAGGTATATGTCCTCCGAACCAATGGCTTAACATATGAGAATTAAGATCAACGCCTATGACAAGTAGTGCACCTACAGCAATCGGGACTTTCTTTGGTGTGCATATTGAAGCTGATTTAAATGGAAATCGTGTTCAAACCCACCGATCAAGAGAAGCTGCAACTAAGATCCATGACGGTGCAAGTTGAGCTACATTCCTTACAAATGAGCGAAATCGACATAGTTCATCGTATGCAACGTAAGGAAAGAAACGAATTTACATTGAAAAAAAATTAAGAACAGAATTTTTCTAGAAATGAATTTCTAATACTTGCAAGCCGAATTCCAAAAAATCAGAGAGACACAAAGTAAATATAATATATCGGATACTTTCCTCAATGTTGACTGGGAAAATGTTAATAAGTCAACTATATTACCAGGAAAGCCAATTAAAAATGTCACTAGATAGCCATATTCATATAGCTGAATAACAACAAATGGATTTTTTTAAATTTGGGATAACAATGCTTGAGAAGATTTCATCGCTGTCGTTGTCATATTGAAACAAAAATGAAGTTAAAATGACTGAGAATAAAAAAAGACACTATTTCATTTTAAGAACTTCTTAGCTCAATATAAAAAGCCATGTAATAATGCTCAGAAGATTAAATATTAATTGAAATCAGTAAATGACTCTAAATCAATTGATAGCATAGGTTCTCGTTGACACTCAGAAATTGGCATCGGAACGACGATCAACTTGGATGTTAACTATGTAGAAGTTATAGGATTCATAATTAAAAACGTATTTAGAAGATTGTGATAGAACAGAAGAATATTTGGTTTTGACTCGTACATTTCATTACGTCGTAGTTTACTGTCAAACAGAATAGCATCAATCAATTGAAATCTATTTCGTGTAAATGATTCGAATCAATATGATCAACTGATAATTATTTACAAGATAGAGTATATATTGAGTGAATACCATTTAAACTAGAAGGGCATATGCGATAATCTAATCTACTAGTGTTAGAGTAATGCAAAAACAAAATAGTAAAATAATACAATTCACTTTAAAAATAGAATACTTAGTGTTGAATCCGGATTCTCTTGTCATAGGAAATCTTCAAATATGATCTTCTATTTCCCATTTTTGAGAAGCTCAATAGCAGATTGCTTTTCATTTGATAGCTCATACAGTTATTATACCGAATATTTCAAACATTGCATCATAGTGCCGCATTCATTTGAGATACCTTTGAATCGTATCAGTATTGTTTTGGATACGTGAGGCTCTTTTTATGTTACAGATGCGCGTTGCAAAACCAATCTATCAATATATATAAAAATCGATGTGCATGTTGAGGTCGTTTACCACGGCCTGATGGTCTAGTGGTATGATTCTCGCTTTGGGTGCGAGAGGTTCCGGTTTCGATCACCGGTCAGGCCCAATTAAAACTTTTTTAAACGGTATCTACTTAAGAAAAAAACACATTTGCTTGTTAAACCTATTTTTTATGCAATTGGAGAAAGAAATAAAAGATCAATTTCATCTTAAAATTGTTTGTTTTTAATCATATTTTTATTTTAAATAAAGTTGATCTTATACAATGATGGCGATAATCATGTCAACGTTTTATTTTCTTTTTTTGTCACAAAACAATAGCATTTGTTTTTGTGTTTAAGCTTTAACAGCAAAAGTACGTTGTGGAAACGCCCATTGTCGTCGTTGAGCCTTTTTCAATTGGACTGATTTTTCCTTTGGTGTCATTAATCGTCGAATAGCTCGTGTTTTACGTTTACGTAAATCTTTTGGCTTATACTTTTTGCCGTGATATAATGCACGTAAATTTTCTTTTGTCGTTTGATGTGTAACAATAAGAACGCGAGCAATTGATTTTCGTACATTGCGAATTTTGCCTAATTTTTGCGCACCACCACTACCAGTAACTTTGCCAACACGGAGTGTATTTAATTCTTGACGTAATTCTTCCAATTGTTTTTGAAGTTCATCTAAACAAATGAATTGATAATAAACGACAAGGATTTTATTCTAGTGTGTTCATACCGGGCTTTTTGCCACGTAATTTTGAACATTTAACACGGGTCATTGTTTTTCTGATCGAATATCTAAAATTATACGAATATAGAATGATGAGAACAGAAAACTAAAATGAATGAAATGCTTTCGAGAAAAAAATGGTGATGACTCAGTTAGGCTCTTTGAGTTTGTTGAATGGTTAATATTGATTCCAATTCGAATAGAAACTCTTTCAATTCCTCCTCTTCATAGAAAAAAATTTATTTCAAATAAATGAAAACTTAAATTTATTTTGTAGCGAAGAATAATAGTGGTTAACAATAATTTTTATTAGCCATAAAATATCAAATAGATGTCGCACCCACACACACATATATATATATATATATATACATTTCTGTTGCAAAGAAAAAAAAGTGCGTGATACATAGAAAAAAGCAACTACCGAAACATTATACATCTTCATTCACTTTTTTAACAAAGAAAAACGTCTAGTAAAAAGTACTAGTAAATGCACCACAAAAACATGCAGCTAGAAAAAATTATCATTCGTAAGAATTGGAAAGTTTAAGTAAAAGCATTTTTGGCAGTTTGTTTAGCTGTTTGTTTAACTACTTTTTGAGCAATCTAAAAATAAAATAAAATGCGTAAGCAACAATTTTCATTCATCGTTGAAAATTCTTACCGCTTTTGGGCCAAGTCCTCCAACATAGTATGCAGTTAAAGCAGTATTTCCAACTGCGTAGGCTGCATTTGCCGTGAAGATGGAAGCATCTTCTCCATATCTAAATCAACCCGATTAAGAATTCGATAAAAAAAAACAGAAGAATATTTAAGCGTCTTACTTGTGTTTAACAACACTAATACTTTCTTTAGCTAAATTGCTTGCCAAATGTTTTGCAGCATTTTCACAACTTTCATAAGCAACACCAAAACCTAATAGAAATAAAACCATCGAATTTAAGCGGTTTTTCAAAAACAAATCTTACTTGCTAATCCAGCATGTCCAATACTACGTATTCCACTTAATTTTACTATTTCAATAGTACCATCAGGCTTGACTATCGTTTCAACTTTACCAAGATTTGGTGCAATTGTACGAGCTAATGCAAGTGTCATTGAACCAACTTTTGATACTTAAAGATATCAAAAACAAAAAAGAATAAAAGAACAGGGAACATTTTCTTTGAAACACATACCAACATAACTGCTAGCTTTCACAGCAACACCTGATGTTGTACGTAAACCACGAGCCGTAACATGTAAACCTTTACTAATTTTTGCCGGCTCTGGATTTGGTACAATTTTATCATGAACAGTTTTTGAAACTTGCCCAATTAAATTTTCAGCCATCACAACGCCAGTTGATAATTGTTTTGTTAAAAATTTTGTTCCTGGAATAATTTTGTTTTGTATACATAAAATATTCAACAATCAAAACTTTCAATCTTACCAGTTACAAGAGCTGCAGCAAGCTTTCCTGTTTTCGTTGATGTATCATAAGGTAGTTCTTCAGCGTTAACTTCATCTTGTCCAATAATTTCGGCTTTTCTACTCGTTGCGTCCGTTTTCTGACGGCTAGCATTAGAAACTACTTCAGGCATCGCTGCTGCTTGATTTGTGAGTTTAACAGCACCACCTGCGGCTGATGTTAATGATTCACCATACTAAATAGAAGCAAAACTTAGCGTATAACGTTTGAATTTTGACATAAAATAATTATCTACTGAAAAGACAACCGACTAGAGCTAAGCAAAAGATTTGTCTTCCAAGGACAAACAATCAGTAGCAAATAGAGCCATAAAAAAGAACTATTTAGCATCTTTTAATGTAATCCTATCCAACCTTTTCACGCAAAGAGGCTCTCATGGGCAACACAAAGGCAGACTGCATCGGTCTAGTTATCTTTGAGAATGATCGGATTACAAATGAGTTTGTTATGTAAAGACATTCACATTGCGAATTACTTACTGTAGGTGTGCCTTGTTGAGCCATGAAAACGGAAAGTTTAGAAATAATATCTTCGAAAAAAACACGAACATCCGGTTGAATCGATTCATCGAACATCAAACCAACAAATTCACCTGTAGAAAAGAAAAACAAGCAATAGCGAATAGAAAAATATCTTTTTCGTTCTTACCAACTGATGTATTATTCGGAAAAATATAGGCATCATATCCCGTTTTAAATGCTGGTGAAACATTTGGATTTAACGGATAAATCCAACTGCCTAATTTTAATAATCCACATGTTTGATCGCCGTCACTAAAAGAAGAAAAACAGATGATTAGAAAAAGTAGATCCGAATTTCTGTTCAAAACGACAAACTTCATTTGAAAAATAGTTAACGGTAATGAATCTGATGTTGTTTGAATCGTTCCATCTTTAGCAATATAAAAAAGTCGAGCACCTTCATCAAGTTGAAACAACACAGTAGCGTTGCTTTCTTCTTGTGTTTCGTTACTTGCTATTGGTTGAAATGCTGATGGATCTTCAAAAACTTGTTCAGCCATTTCGGCTGATTCTTGTTCATCAGTTGTTGGTACATTCTTGTACAATTGTTGATTTATATTTTGATAAATTCCATTGGAATCTGCTGATCGATTTTGATGTACTAATGATTGGAGTAATCGTTGATTTGTGTTGCGTTTAATTACTTGTAATTCATCGTCAACCGCTGATGTACCTTCGTGGGAATCAATCAATGAGATAACACGTTTATAAAGTACAGATGCTTCATCGTATTGTTGATTTTTTTCGAGATTAGTTGCACGTTGTAGATATTCATTTGTTTCACGTCTGAGACTCGCTGGTGTAGCCTCGGCACGTGGACGAGTTTTTTCAAGTAATGCGGTCATCGTATCTAGATTTTATGGTATTCTGAAAAGAATAGAATTATTTTCAATGATTATATATACATATACGATATGAATAAGCTGTCTAATGATTGTAATGCGAAGACGAATCGAAAAGAAAAGAAGCCTTTTTGATTACCATAACTCGTGAGTATAGAGATGAGTCATCTGTGACAGATTTTAACAAACTACTACGCATGAGTCATTCATTCGTCAGTTCTCTTCCGGTGAATAAGATGTCGCTATGGCATCTTAACGAAATAAACATGAACAACATGGATAGTTCGTTCCTAAATCATATAGTAGGAAAATGTTTCTTGTTCTGTTTAATCAATACTTTCCGAACGAATTGACAAAGCATTCTTTCGATGTCAGATACAACAAAATATCAATGATAGAGTTATTTATCGAATGAAAAGTGAAAATAATATTTATTTGTTATCAATATGTTTTGAGTGGTAACACAATATCTCGAAGAAAAAAAAAAGAATTCTTTCCCATGGAAAAAGATTCAAAAAAAGAACGGATAAGAACGCGTTGTCCAGATAAAAGACTGAGTTGTGAAGACGCTTTTTTCGACCTTTTGAGACGCGTTTGTGTAATGAAAAACGCGTTCTTTTGAATAAAAGGAACCCGCTCTGATCGCTCCATAAGAACACGTTTTTCGCGGTAAGAACGCGTTCTTATTTAGAAGAAAAAAAATCATTTATTTATTGTAATTTCAACTCTATAATGATCTCGANCGTCTGAACGCGTTAATTTGTTCTTAGAACGCGTTTTTAGTCGATAAAATACGTTCAATTTTTTCGAAAACGCGCTCTTTCACGTTCATTATGACGAATATTTTTCCATGGGTTGATAACTTGAGTTTTTATGTATTTACCTTTTCCTGCTGTATTAGTCTGATATCGTAGGATAGAAAGAATGGATGTGATAACGTCGAAAGAAAAAATGTCGAAAGCATTGGACTTCAAGATCTTCTGGTTCAAGTAGATGATTATTCGGCATGCACCAAAACAAAAATTGGTTTGAAAATATAATCTTTTTTGGCATATCTCAAAAAGAAAAAGAAAACCTCAAATTGGTGTATGCCTAACGAGTACGCTGACCTTTCAAGTTAAAAAATGATTATTTGAATCAGCATGAACCTTGGCTTTGTAATTCTTAGTTTTACAGCTCCAATATATCTACGAAGATGTTTTTTTATTGTTTGTAAAAAAACTATTCCGAATCAATTGTCAATAACCGTTATTAGAATCAAGAAAAGATATAGCACTCGTATTAGTGGGCATTAAACAGTCGAAAGAATTAAGTGATAATACTGCAAAACTGTACGGCAATATCTAAAAGCAAGCGAAATATATAGAAGATCATACAACAATGCTGTGATTGCATTTTTTGCACTTTTGTAGTTCCTATCTGTACTACATTCTAGAATGTTCGCTCACAAAATTACTTATTGAGGAAAACTATTAGCTAATCAACAAAATTCTAATGAAAAATAGAAAATACAATAAAACAAAATCAATTATTTTTTATAACGATATCTCACAATTTTCGACGTTGCATGTGTTCGACATTTTTCTTTCAACGTGTTCAATACATACCAGATCAATTGGTTCGCCTTATTGGTCGATCAAAGACAAACTACTTAATCTTGACTGCATTAAAATAATTGATTGAATATACAAGGAAATGTTTGCGGTTTCAACACATATGAGAGCATATCCAAATCAGGGTTGCCAGCTGCTCAGGTCCCGAATGGGGTACATTCGTGAGGTACGCAGTTTACATGTTTCACACTGGTCATCGGCTGCGGAAATCAATTTCAAAAACTATTTTCAATCAGGAAAGGGCATTCTCAGTTTTTCGTTTTACTATAAAGTCTAGCTTTCAAATTGAAATCTTTATTTTCTAATAAGTATATTCACAATAAAATTTCATTTTGACATACATATATTCAATTCAATCGTAATAAAACAATGCTTGCTCAAAGCGAACCTTCTCGATTTATATTTACACTGACTGTTGCACGCTTTTTTTCGAAGCTTTATTTTTGTTGACTTTTGGCACACTTTATCAGTTGCGATTGTGTTTGAGCAAAAGAAAAAAAAACTTCACATGTCATAGTACTATTAAATCTGATTTTCAATTCAGCAGCTATCGTTTCATACACCGTCAAATTGCGACTGGCTGCCCATGCGCTTTTTCTTTGGCTGAAAACGCCTTCAACAAATGCATTCGAGCAAGGAATTGCGTACACATAAGAAATAATTTTGTACATTTCAATACATATTGGTTTCGACTTTACAAGACGAAAAGCCCAAAATTGATCAGGCTGAAATTCCACTTCTCTTTCATGATTTTCCGTCGTCGGTTTGTGAATGAGACTATCTTCATCGTGGGACTCGTTGCATATGTCATTGTTGAATTCTTCATAAACATGACCATTAACAGCCAGCCAATATAATAGACGCTTCACATCTTTATCAATAGTAAATGTCGGATAAAGAGACAGAACTTTTCTTAGTTTCAACCGAAATATGGATGATAGTAGTCGTAACATTGAAAAATGCAGATGGGGTACAAACTGCGTAGCTCAGAGGTACACGTTTTTTTTGAGGTTCAAAAGGCTCACATGGGGTACGGCTGGTAACCCTGGTACAAATATAGTTTGCATTCAATAATACAAAAGGAAAAGTCGATGATCGGAGTCTTTGCTAGGAATAAGTGTGTTATTTATTTTTGTGACTGATTTTTCACATATAAAATTTGGTAAACATTGTATCAAGGATCAACGAAATTCACCAAAAACAAATGGATAAAAATTCGATTGATCTTGCGCGATGAGCAACATTTCAAACATTTAAAATACCCATAAAAGTTACCTCCGCAACTATCCTCGTTGTTACTTGGTTGCAGTTTTGAAGTTTATTATTAGCTGCCTATCAATCATCACAAGATAGTGTCGCCAATAGCTTACTTTTTACCTGTCTGCGTAGGTATATTTTGAAAGAAAACAAACCATGACCTGTTCTCACTCATCAAAATTAAAGAAAACTTTGTATTTGAGTTTTAATCATCTAATTGCGGAGACTTTCATTTTATAAATAATAAACGAATGAAAAAGATCATTATCTCTCATATCTAATAATGAAAGTATATTTGGTTTTGAAAGCAAGAAAATCGTAACACAGGTTAAAAAAAGTGATGTAGCCTTTCATCTGCGCGTTGTTTTGTTTTGATCGATAGATAACAAAAAGAAGAAAAAAAGCATGGTATTATTATTATTATTTTTATTTTGGTTGTTTAGCTATATGAATACCATGAACAGTAAAAGGAAAATTTTGCCAAATGCTCCCAATTAGAAAAATCATCAAAAGTATTTTAGAATTTTTCTTTATGCTCCAGTTGGCTTGAGTTCGTCAACTTACCTTCAGGACTACTATTTTGGGACAAATTCAGTTCTTTTTTTGTAGTATGATTGAATTTGGAAAAAAACCAATCAGCCATATATAATGAGCAGTTTTTTTTAATCAAATATCGGAGCTTCATTGATATGAATTTCTATTTTCGAATATTGCTTATCAAAGTTTTAGCTTTAAAACCAATGAGTAGAGTAAGCATTTTGATGCCAAATCAGAATATGACGTTTAGTATTTGCCATGCTAAACTCTTTACCATTGAAACCTTTTGAATAATTTGAAAATTCATATTTATGGTGCTCTGATACCATACTGAAAACAAATTCAATTTTTGCATCAATAAACCGAGCGTTTTTAAAAACAGTGACGACGCACATCATCACGTGGTCGGAAGTAAACTTAATTGCGCATGTTACTTTTTGACTTTCTCATACGGGCGCCTCAAAATGCAAAAATTTTATCTGGAGCTTTTCGCAACATCATCTGTAAACATGCAGACACAGGTCATATCAACTATGAAGAGGATATTTAATATATTTCACTATATTATAACGAAGTAAAAATGCAACGAGTCAAATACCTGCTGACTATTTCGAATGAATCATCCGATTTGTTTTCTTCTTTTCCTCAAAAACAAGCCTTTCTTTTATTACTTTAAAATAAATAGTTATGCATGTTTTATGCTTTCACTAATCTTTCTAGACATATTCACATTGAATGCTGTCCAATCTTCAAATACTTGAATTATGTGCATCTGGAAAAGCTTTAAGAACTCCTTTACGTTTACTTAATCGTGTTAAACATTACGCTTATGGCGATATTGAAAAGCTTAATGAACAAGTGGCGACTCATTTCAATACCTGGTCATTTATTGTCTTGCTAAATTTAGACGACCAAAACTCGCATATCGATTTAGACTACCTAAAAGAACAAGGCTGCGTGCGGGCTATTTTTTATGTGGAAATTTAACCTATGACATACAAGATAATTATGGAAAGATTTATCCTGTTCAGAAAGAAGTTATTGCATCTAAAATAAAATCAGCTATTATTCAATTTTTGAGAGCTGATGCTGCAAAAAGATTATCATTGGGTGATATAATTGGTTCACAGCATCGGATGTCGCAAGCTCATAGTTTTGAACGCCAAAACTTGACAGATGACCAGGTAGTATATCTTTATTAGCCTAAATATATAATCTAATTGCAAAAATGAATTAAAAGGCCGTTCCTTGTCATGTTCTAATTATTCCACTGAATACAAATATCGACAATTTACTCGATTTTCAACCGCGTTTCTTACAACAATGTAAACAAATAATCAAAATTTTCATTAATACTATGACTTATTTTTTTTTATGCTAGGTAATGATCTATGTCCTGATTATGAGCCAACAGTTTGTACAATTTATGACTATTTACCTCAAAATGAAAGTGGTGAATTTGATCGAAATCCAGATGCAGCTCTTCTTTGTAATCATGTGAAACGGCTGTCACTGATTCGCGTGTATCTTATTGGAAATGAAGCATATATTCGAAATTCGATGTGCAAATATTTTTTCCAATGTGAATCACATGCTACGAATCTGGTAGGATACAATGAAACATATACACTTGTTGAAAACGAACCAATTGGTGCTAATATAATGAATGATTTAAACCGCATCATAAATGTTGAACTACCAGTAACGCGTGTCATCAAAAAGTTACGTGAAATCGCAGATGATCCTCATTTTTACGGCGCTCTTGAGTGTTCTAATGCTAATCTTGAACGACGGGAAAGGCCTGCGGTTCGTCCAGACACCCCCGAAGGATATAGCTCCACAGTATGTAGAAACATAAGATTGAAACAATATTATACTATTTATTTAATTTCTTTTATTATTATTATTAGTATCATCAAAGCACACAAGCTGAAGCTGGCCCTAATACTCAACTTGAAGATGCTAATGATGGTGATATTGATGCGAAAATTTCAAAATAAACTTCAAGAATCTTCCACCGTACTGTTCGTGTACACTAATTTCTAAATCAATGAAAGTATTTTTAGAAAAGCTTTTAAAATTGTTATTGAATTTTTTTATTTTCCAAAAAATAATGTCTATAAATTATATATGAACGTGAAACTAATAATTAGACGTTCAAGTTTTTATATTTAATATGTGTAAAAAAAATATAGACAATAAATATCAGAAGTAAAACTATATATTTGATCTACTGAAGTAATTCATAATGGACTTTTAATTATTTCCATCTTGAAAAGTAATACTGGGTTAGACATTAACTATATTACCGAATAGCCTTTATGCTGTGTCTTGTTATGATAGATTTGGCATTCAAAATAAACTTTCAGGAATCCTTAGACTTTCAATTGAAGATATTTTACGGGGTATGGGTGTGCCACACTCACACATCAATGTCTTGAGATTGAGATAAACATCTAAATATTTGTTGTCGTTCTTGTTGAAAGTAATCATTGGTTAACTTTTATCAATGATAGACAATCGATAAGATCAACATATATAAAGGGCAGTATTCTCTGGCAATAAATAATCAACTCAACAAACAAAAGAATAAAAATATTCAAAAAAAAACAACAGTATCATTTTTATTTCAAGGGTGACATGTACAACCATTTACATACTTTTTTCTTATTTAGCACTATTAAACTAATTCTTTTTCAAAAATCAATGCATATGTTCTGATTACCAATAGAACAGTGTGTTACTAAAATTAATTTAGCATCTGTGTCAGGTAAAACAATTACGTCTATGTGAGAAACTAAAATAAACTTATATTTGATACTGATCGATGCAGATTTCCTGCCTACGTTATCTGTACCTCATATTTCTATTCATTACCTTATCAGTCGAGCGATGTTCGTACTATGTATATCGATTTTAGAACAATGGCACATCAACGCGGTCGGACATACATGCATACTAAATAACGAAAAATAATCAAAGCATATTTATTGAATAAGTTTGAGAAAAAAACATTTATAGCTGTTTTTCACATGTTCTATACCGATTCATCACGCTTTTAATACATGAATGTGTTGAAGGAAGCGATTTTTCTAGATAGAGCAGAGCTTTTGAGTAGTCTCCCATGTTTTTACACACTTCTCCGATATTACTGTAGCCAATACCCAAGGATGGATGAATCGGAGACAGAGCTTTGTCATAGATTTTATGTGATTTTTCGTAAAATTCACGTGCTTTCGAGTAGTCACCCATGTCGCTATACACTCCACCGATGCTGTTGTAGGAAGTAGCTAGTGAGGGATGGTGTGGATGTGGATCTTTCCTTCAGCCACACACCCACACCCAGGTTCTGTATAAAAAAAACATTTCATTCGACCTGAGCGTCTCAACTACACTGGGGGTTCCTTTTTACGGAAATAATCAATGCAGTAGAGACACCATTCTCTATATCCAACCTCCCTGGTCGAACAGTACGGTCTATATAGGGCCGTATACGGTCATAAACGGTTTGTTCACGACCGTATACGACCCATATCTGATGACCGTATTCAATCACCGGGGCTCCGCCAAACATCAGCATGCAACAAACCATACCGTTTCAAAGTTCCGTTAATCTCGATTTAAATAGGCGAGTAGAAGAGCATACATTGACATAAACACAAATATAAACATACCCATTCAACCCGTTCCTCCAGTCGATCTAAATACATCAAATAATAAAATATATATAATGATAAATATAGATGTAAACATACCTCTGGAATTCAATCCTTCAAGTCTAGGGATGTACAGTGTCGGTTTACTGAGCACTGGTACATCGACGGTTCCTGGTTGACTAAAACTGTAATACAAAAATAACTAGCTTTCTAGACTAAAGAATACAAACTAGCCTCATTACAAAACTTCACATTGATTATATGCACCATAAAGCTGGTATGGTAGTAACAATACACATTGATTTTAGGAAGTTATAGATCAACCTTATAAAACTGTCACAGTTTGTTGACGAATCCAACAGAATCGAAGATGAAAAATGAAATTTAATAATTTCCATATGATGCGACGTAAACTACACAATACAACTTAGATTCTCTTTATTATGCAGATAAATACTTGGAATCATTTAAAATTTTGGTATTTCTAGATTTATGAATAAATTGGAATCTTTGTTGGACGTGCTCCACAGAACAGGAAGTTCTACGTAGCAGCCCATGTAATAAAAACCGCATGAAAACCGCCGGTTTACCGCGGTTTTACCGGTCCGGTTACCGGCTCCCATTACCGCAGAACGGAAAAATAACGCGGTTTACCGCAAAAATTGATCCGGTATTAGCAACATGGGAGACCAAAATAATAAAATACATAGTCGAGAGGCTTTGAATTGAATGATGGTATTCGCATATTTGAGTAAAATAATAAGTAATGCAATGCATCGAAGGTTGTTGTAGAATGTAAAATTATAGATTGTTCAAGACTGGGACACCCTTGACAAAGATAGAGGTGCGTATTTCACTGTAATCTGTTGTAAACTACCATTAAAATTGGCGAATATGTATACTTTGACCGATGCCGTGGCTCAGTGGCACCGATGGGTGTGGGTGTGGATCTTTCCTTCAGTCACACACTCACACTTACACCTACAACTCGATTGCAATGATTTCTCTCAAGCAAGACCAGTGTGAGATTAAAGGTCTTTAAAGCACAGTTGGGACGTTAAATTTAGATCAATTAGCCGAAGTTTGTGAGAAGCTAATCTTGTTTGTAGATTAAACCGTTTACAGTCAAAAGCTTGTCATTGAACTTTAGACAGTAAAACTGAATCTTTACATTGATTGTCACGTAGATCGGCTAACCATTGTTACCAATCTACTGACTGATATCAGATGTTGATTTGTATTATTGTCATTTAATTGGTAAAACTATTCGCGATTTGAGACAATTAAGATCCGTTCAAAAATTGGCTCGGTTCTATTGCAGTGGTTTAGGACAGAACCACCATTGAAAAAAGGTTCAGTACAGAAAAAAAGGACTGACACAGAACCCTTTTAAATATTTGGAACCTTTTTCTACTCGAAATGCTTTTTAAAATTGTATAGAATTACTGATGGTTTAGTAAAATCTTTAGAGAATCTTATAGAGTTCTATATCTCGTATTAAGTCATAAATGCTTTCGTATTGTAATCTTTTTTTTTAGAGAGTATTATTCATTAAAATTCGAAGAATTCTATGCTGGTCTTATCTTATTTTTATATAGAATTTATGTTCTATATAATAATGTAGCATTAGATTCTGAAGATACCTGATGAGATCCTTAAGCAAGATCGAAACGTCGTATATACTGCTTTGAATCTAAATTTTGTTGCAGCGTATAACACCCACACTCAAACCCCAAATTTTTTCTTCAATTTCAAAAAATTGATGCTGTGCAAATAAACCGTTATTTTTTGTTTCTAGTACTTTAAGAGAGAAGTGCGCACATAAAAAAACACATTCTCTCTTTTCTCCCACACGACGACGACAAAATGTGTATGCAGAGAACTTTCTAGATACTTCCAAGAACGGCAAATAATATGCTTGTTGTCCATTACATGAAAAAGGCGCACGACTGAAGTACACACTATTGCATTATTATTTTTTGTATCCTTATCAACGGTAAGAAAGCATTACACCCCAAGCAAAAAAACACTGCTTCCCTACAAAGTAAAGCAGCCTGATCAAAGCTCATTTCAAACTTAAATACATCGCTGGAACCCGATCAAAAAGCAATATCGTTCTATTTCTGGTAGGATTCTACAACCGAGTGTATGCTATGGAAGTCATAGATAGAAACGATCCGGCATACCGGCCACCGAACCGGTCCGGGGGAAGGTTTCCGACCGGTCGGTATGAGCAATTTTTGGGTATTACTAATTTACGCGAACAGCACGAACAGCCAAGTTTGTGAGATCGCGCATAAGTCATCTTTACGAACACCCACAGCGTGTAGAGTTATATTCACGGACACCCATGAACACCCATTTTCTAGGAGCGATAATGAAACAAACTGTCAACAAACACTAAAAAATGACCCCTCTCAACACGAACACCCAGAAGCTCTGTTATAGTCTACGCAAACACCTTAAACTTTTTCTTACGAACACCCACAGAACTCAATAAGCTACATTTTTACCAAACGACATGGTATCCTAGGGTAAATCCTTATAGGACTTTTTCTCTGAAAATACGTGGGATCGACCAAATTTGACCATATATACCGAAGAGGTCCATTTTAGAAGCTTAATAGCACCCAACTTACCCATACAGACACCCACCGAACTCGATAAGCTACATTTTGACCAAAGGACATGGTATCCCCAAATGAATTCTTATAGGACTTTTGTCCTCGAAATACATGTGATCGGTCGAAATTTGATCATGTACACCCAAGAGGTTCCTTTTAACACGTTAATAGCGCGAAATTTAGACTTGTCGGTACCATTATCAACTTTCTATCTACTTATGCACCAGAGCTCCGCGTGGGACGGGATGGGACGAAAAAAATCGTCCCGTGGGATAGATCGAAACATTTCGTACCATGGGATGGGCTAGAGATTTAAAAAAAACCATCCCATGGTATGGTACAGTCTTCTTAACTGTCCCATCCCATGGTATGGGACACAAAAATGTTTCGTCCTATCCCATGATCCCATGGGACATATCAATAATCATATATCCTTTTAGACATCACATTTATGCGAGTA